GGTGCGTGTTATTGTGTATGTAGTTAGTATATCAGAATATTTTTCCATACTTAAAGGTGCGTGTTATTGTGTATATAGTTAGTATATTCCTCCACAGTTAAAGGTTCCTTTTGTTGTTGTTGTTTCTAGGATTCACGAGATTCTTGCTCTCAGAATACTGTGACGTGATGAACCCCTCTCATCAATCTGTTTTTCAAGATATGTCACAACCTCTTGCTCAGTACGTCATATCATCGTCAAGCACATTGTAAGTGACAATTTGTTTTCATTTAACTTTCTTCCCTAGCGATAACTCTGGGAAGCTTAGAATTCTTATTGACAAACGGAATATTACACACGTTGTTGTTTGTTATTAAACACAAAGTTCGCAAAGGGCTATCTGTGCTCTGCCCACCACGGGTATCGAAACCCGGGTTCTAGCAGTAGAAGTCCGCAGACATAGTTTGGTTTGTTTGAATTTCGCGCAAAGCTATAAGAGGGTTATCTGCGATAGCCGTCCCTAATTTAGCAGTGAAAGATTAGAGGGAAGGCAGCTAGTCATCACCACCTACCGCCAACTCTTGGGCTATTCTTTTACCAACGAATAGTGGGATTGACCGTAACATTATAACGCCTCCACGGCTGAAAGGGCGAGCATCTTTGATGGGACGGGGATTCGAACTCGCGACGCTCATATTGCGAGGCAAGCGCCTTAACCACGTAAGCAACAAGCGTCAAATATGCATAATCAGGCTGTAAAAAGTGGAATAATAATCTAATAACAGACAATAGCAAAACATGTGCTCGCTAAGAGATGTAATAGTTTTGTCCTAGTCATACTATAAAAGATTTAAACAAATCGTATAAACTATGTAAAATTTAAACCAAATCACGAACAATGGTAATTCAAAATAAAACGAAGAAACCTTCCAGTAAGTGAGATGTTTATCCTAGAAAAATATGTAATTAAAGACACGCAAGTTTAGCTCTAATTATCGAGGAGATAATCAAAGGCATACATGTCTAATCCAATATTAGATAATAGCAAAATAAAAATCAAAAAAGTTGACAGCAACGAGAACACTTTGTGATAGTAGTCCGCCAACGCGTACATGCTAGCTTGATCTTTCAGGTTAATTGATGTTCCTCTTCATAATCCACCACGAGCTTGGCACGTGAGATGCAGCATCAATATCACGCAGCTATAACAGTAGGTTGTATGAAAAATATATAACCTTTAATGGTAAACCATAAGTTTTTTTTTTCCTGGCATTTTGCCAATACAACGACAGTAATCTACAGAAAATCCCTAAATTCCGTATGTTAAATTAAGGATGAAATAAATGGCGATAGGTAATAGTTCAATTAAAACGTCATTACTGCGAGTTACCTACGAATGACCCCCTCTAGTAGCAGTTTCTCGAAATTACCTTATGTTTTTTGATTAATCTTTAATTCTAAGAGCGATATGCTTTACAAGAGTTTGTTTGTGATTAAGCACAAAGCTACACGATGGGCTATCTGTGCTCTGCCCACCACGGGTATTGAAACACGGATTCTAGCGTTGTAAGTCCACAGACATACCGCTGTGCCACTGGGGAGCACTTTACAATAGAAGGTTTCATTTCATTATTTTGAAGCCTATTTTATTATAATTAATTACATTTAAAATAGAAGAAAATAACATACTTGCGTTATTTTACGTAAATGAAACCATTTTCTAGCCCTGGTATTGATAAAAAAGCATTCGGTGACATTGTATTAAGATTCATGATATTAATATAACCAGAAAAAAAATTTCAGAGTTATCGGGAGCTGGCTCATGATTTATGCTACAAAGAAACGCGCGAAGTTTAATATTTGGTATTTAATAATGGAACGATAATATTTGGTATTTACAAGTTGCGATGTTTCTTTGATATCCGAGAAAAAGTTTTGAAATATTTTCCAAAATTCGTGGAAAGAAAGGACTAAAACCTGGTATCCTTTCCCACTGGCTGAGGTAATACCACTTTTAAATTCCCATTCGTATTTATATAATCTATTTACGTTATTTTTGAATAACATGTACGTTATAATTAATCAAATACGTCCTGGAACTATCAACCTGAAATATAAACATATAATATTCCTACTGTCGCATTTCGAGAACCACATTTCTATTATTGAAGATTTATAAGCAATATGAATATTTTTTAAATAATGTGTATAGCCATGAAGTTAATATTTTTCCATAAAAAAATTATAGTACAAGCAAATGCCATCACGAATGAAAATGTCCGGATGCAACCTACGAGTCCTTTTTAAGACATATTATTGTCAACTGTTTTATTGTTCATTATTTGTTTACTGTTTTTTGTTAAGAGGTATTGACGCTAAATGATTATCGATATAAAAATAGGGCATTTTTATCTTTAAGCATTCATCTTCAAAACCGAGAAATTCCTCTTTCTACCGTTGAATGGTATAGAAAAGCTCTGAAATTTGGTTGTCGTTCAATAACAGGTGAGATGTTTTCTGATTTGAAGAAAATTAGATTAGGTAAACAGGAGCTTACGGTATAAGCTTAATCTGGTTGTTTCTTTAACATGCCTCTAATATCAGTTAGTGCCTTAAAACTAGTACGACTTAGTTGATGTACTATATCGGTGTATTAGTACATATTGTATTAGTACACATTGTATTAGTACATATTGTATTAGTCGACATTGTATTAGTACATATTGTATTAGTAGACATTGTATTAGTACATATTGTATTAGTACACACTGTATTAGTACACATTGTATTAGTACATATTGTATTAGTACACATTGTATTAGTACACTTTGTATTAGTACATATTGTATTAGTACACATTGTATTAGTACATATTGTATTAGTACATGTTGTATTAGTACATATTGTATTAGTACACATTGTATTGGTACATATTGTATTAGTACACATTGTATTAGTACATATTGTTTTAGTACACACTGTATTAGTACATGTTGTATTAGTACATATTGTATTAGTACACATTGTATTAGTACATATTGTTTTAGTACACACTGTATTAGTACATGTTGTATTAGTACATATTGTATTAGTACACATTGTATTAGTACATATTGTT